TAAAAGGGGTAATAGAATAGAAGAAGGGTAGGTAAAAGTTTAAAAGGGTTTAGAAAGTTTAAAGTTTAAAAATGTAAAAGGGTTGGGACAAAGAAAAGAGATTGACACAACAGTAAGTACTAATACTTGAAACATAGGAGAGTTGTAGGGTAGTAATGAGTAGTCTTAATCTAATGTTAGTGACAGTGTAGAGGGGACCTGAAGGCTCAGCAAGGGGACCCAGGCTACAACTATCCTACACAACAGAAATACAGAACACAAGTACTGGAACATAGTTGGAACTTGCAGAACAGGCAGAGAGAGAGAGTGAGACAAGAGTAGAGTATATAGAGTGAGCCTAAGAGTACAGGACTACCTAGAGTAGACAAGATCAAGACTACAGGACTAGTCTAATCTTATACACCTATATATACTAAACTACACAAGAGTACTCAGGGAGTATGAGCTACTAAGAATGATAAGCCACAAAGAATGAAAGAAAGGAAGGTCAAAGATAAAGGTACAAAGAATGAAGGGATAGATAAAGGGTAAGAGACTATAGAATGAACAAAGAATGAAGGGGTGGTCAAAGGAATAGAATGATGAAGTAAGGAAGGGTAGTGGCAAGAGTCAGCACACATATAGTCTATAGACAGTGCCCCTGAGGGACAGAAGTCCCAAGTTCCAGTACAGAAGGGTGTGGAACCCTCAGAACTGAAGGTAAGAGAGCAGAGAACCATAACATGTACCTTAGGTGGCATACATGAGAAAAAATTGATAAATTCCCACAACTGGACTTGGAACAGGCCTTTGCAGACAGTGACATCCTAGTCCAAATTTATGACAAGTCCATTTTCCCACAAACAAGCAATCATGTACATGTTGGTTTTCAACATACTTTAACTCGTTCCACTCACCCTCTGCTTCCTTCTCCCAACATGTCTTGCTTTCTTCCCCTCATCTTAACGTCCAAACACGTGCACCATGGTCTGCCACAAGATCAAGATCAATCAAATAACAGTGCACGCATCTCCTTGTCCCTCTCCATCCGCCAGCCTATTTCCATCGTCCCGTCTCTCTCTCTCCACTGTGCTATTTTCTCGCGCAATTCAGTTCGCTATACTGACTCTATTTTTTTTTTCTCTCTCTCTCGCGTGCGCCGGTGGCACGAGCGCAACCGCCCAGTAACTTTTCTCAAGGTGAGTTGTGTTCTCAGTTTTGCTTATGCACACTTGTGCAAAGCATTGTGCGGGAGCTGCAGTGCTAGTCTGACACATTGACCGAGTTGCCCTGCTGTGCTGCTGTGCTGCTGTGCGCTCACTATAATTATTTCGACAGAGCCTAACGCCTATTTATTTTTATATCTCCTTCGCTGTTGGCTGTCCGCTGTCGGTAACCACTCTGTGTGCTGTGCTGTGCTGACTGTCTGTTGCATGTTCTTGGCTGGCGCGTCGAAATTGGCCACGGCGTGCAGCGAAAGAACAGGCTGTTCAAGAAGGCATATGAGCTGGGAGTATTGTGTTCTGTGGATGTAGCAGTGATCATCTTCGGTGTGTTCGAGGCCGTTCTGTCGTGTATCTTGCGTCCCTGTTCTCACCCACCTGCCTGCTCTATTTTTGGCATACTACCTTCCTGCTCAATGTCAACGGCGGCATGTCGATTCCCTTCTTCGTCTGACGCGCCCTGACCGCTCCGGGGGCAACTCCCGATGCCGATGGCCAATGGCACCAACAACGACGACGCTGCTGCAGAGGAACGGGCCGGCCACCATGTGAAGTTGCATGAGTACTACTCGACAGACGTCGACAGCATGGTTCAACAACACATCCATGTGCGTACATGTCTTTCGCGTTTCCTTTCTTTGCCATGCGCCCCGCCTGCTGGTCACTGTAGCTGACCCCTTTCTCCTAGTCGTCACGCCAGCCATTAACTCATTATTTTATTTTGTTTACTTCGTGTGACTAATTGCTGACACTCGCCTGCTCTTCTTGCACTCTCCCTTGTGGACTTGACTGTGTTCCCCCAAACAAATTGTGTAATATGCAATGCCGCCCATGGACGCGTCGACCACCGTATGTCTGATGATCGCCCCAATACACCACTCTCTCATATCACCCCCCGCGCTAAACTGCAGTCACCGCGGTCTATCTATCCATCCTCTCTCGCTACCGTTCTTCTGCTCCTGCCCTCTGCACCCGGCCGCACATCTCGCCTGCACTGCGTTTCACTACACAGCCTTCGCAGGCTTCCTTGGTCCCTCACGACGCCCGCATGCGTCCACTCGCATTCCCGTCGTTACTATCACCTCCACAGTCTGTCCGATCAATGCGCTCCCTGTCCCCCTATCTGTATGTCATGCATCCGGTTTGGTCAACCTGTATTGCTGTAATGTTCCAGCATGGCTTTTCCCACTAGTTTGACAGAGAATGCGAATCTAAACATCCAGCCGACTTTAGCAAGCAACCAGATTATGGTGCTCACAACAATGACAACAAAGGACCAAGGCTCTCAGGTTCTGGATGCACGTCTTCAGTTTGGGCATGAGTGGTAGGTGAGCATCCAGCATGGGTGGTGTGGGTGGCCAAGAACTTGTATCTGCTAGTACTATAGACTGTATTAAGTAAATATTGTAGCATTGTTATGAAATATAAATAATATAAAACATTAATGCTTGTATGGGTGAACCAAGTAAAAAAAATATAAGTAGAATTTATATCTACATTGCAATTCTTTCATAAGAGTTATGTCTACATTATAAGACCAAAACTACATATCAATTTAGAACAGCCTTTTAGATCATTATATTGACTTGTATACCTTATAAACTATACCACCCTTCCTATAGTACAGAATTCTTATACTTTCTTGTCATTTTTGAGATCAATTATATGTAATTTTACTTATTGTAAAGGATAATAAACCTTTTGATTATTGACAAACCTTTCTTATCTTATAATGCCTTGTACTGTTTCTCAGAAATTGAGATCAATTATTTTGCCTTTTACAGTCTTCACATTATTTACATATTTTGCACCATTATAAGCTAATATAAGCTATAAGACTTTTTTGCGATGGAATAGTTGGGTCAGAAGGTTGTAGATCTCACGCTCTACAGAGATTGGACTGACTTCCTGTAACATCGCTTGCACTTTCTTGTTTTGTGCCTCGTCTATCCTTCCTAGCCTTTCGTCTTCATCAGTGAGCCCGTTAAACAGAACGTATTGGACACACAGTAACTCAGTACAGTACCCTCCTATGCCTCGACATGTATGCCATGTCACGTCGCCAAAATCAATGATTTTGACCGTCAGTCGATCAAGGACAATGTTCCGTCCTGCAACATCGTTGTGGAACATCCCTAATGAGTGCAGAGAGGCGAAAGCATGAAACACTGCCAACCTGTATGAGATGTCAATCTCTACACCTGCATGCACAATAAGAGCAAACACTCAACGCACTTCTCCTTGTGCTCTAACTCTTTCAAGGGCTTGTCGGGTGTCTCTCCAACATACTCGGTGATCAGCGCATACTTTGTCTTATCCTCATTATGCTCGTACAGTCCGTAGCATATAGCAGTGTGGCGCCGCACAATCTCTTCCACAAAAGAGTAGCGGTCTGCACTGGCTTGGAGGATGCAATAAACGAGAAATTCGTTACAGAGGTCTTGAGCATAGTTCCTACAATCCCCATCCGGTGGCAGCCGTGAGATATCAACAAGTTTGACAGCAAAGTATTTTGGATGCACACTATGAACGTTCGGATTCAAAAGTTTTGCGCTGCAAACAACACCCATTACACCCGGTCCCATGTCACGTTTGACCACTTGAAGGACAGGGGTTTCGGACGTTGGAAAGGGCGGGAAGGGCACTCCCCGCTCGGGTGTAAGCTTGACCTTCTGACCCCATTTAGCACCCGGTACTGACTGTAAGCCTTGGATGATCTAAAAATGGTCAGTTCGTCATCATACTGAGAGAAGGGAGAAGCAGGAGGGAAAATAATTAAAATAATAAAATAATAAAACTCACGATAGCACTATGGCCCTCTGTCTTTGTCGAGTCCAGCTTCTGTATCTTCGGGCTTGGGGGTTTCACGGAGTTCCCGAGGAGAGTTGGTGGTAAGGCCGAGTGGTTCCTCCGACGGCCAGTGCGTGTCCCTCCTGGCCGGCTTTTAGACGAAGATGTACTCCTTCTAGTACCGTGTGCACTGCTTCGTTTTTGACTTGGCTCGGAGCGTGGTCCATGATTTGGTTCGGTACTGGGTCCCCCTGGTGGCCCTCTGCGTCCATGGTTATTGTTGTCGTTATCGTCCTTGTCGTCGCCATTGTCACTGTCATCGTTGTCGTCACCATCGTTACTGTCGTCATCATCGTCACTGCCAGTGCCGTTTCGCTTTCGCTTTTGCTTTTTAGGCTGAGTTGTATATTTTCTTTTAACGGGTCTTTCGTGGCTTGGCCCGAAGGTTGATTCGACACTTGGTCTAATGATGTTTTGCCTAGCACTTGATCTCCGTGGTGGCCTACTGTCTCCAGCATCTGGGTTATTGTCGCTGTCAGTCCTTGGCTCTGCACTTGACCCCTGTGGTGGCCCGCTGTCTCCACCATCCAGGCCGTCGTTGCTCTCGGTATTTGGCCCAGGATGTGGTCCCCGTGAGGGTAGAGTGTCATCGTGCTCGGTGCCCGACCTTTTGTGTGCCTTTTCTAGTCCTTGCTGTTTCCAAGCAAGGTAGAAGTCTCTTTGTGCGTCAGATCCGTGATACGTTGCGAAGTGAGCCCAGGCGTCGTTGAGATTCGGTGCCGGCGGTAGGATGGCTAACCCCTCCGAGACGAGCAGTAAACCCAACAAAACCCGGAAAGGCTCTGACTTCCCTTCAACCTCAACTATTGGTGAATATGCCACGCAGTCGTTTCCGCCAGCATCTACGTTTCGCGAATCAAAGATAGTCAGTCCAGTGCACCAAAAAAGCACAATGTGCCTTTGTGTATGTGAAAGTAGATAGAAAACACACTACATCTCCCAATCAGTTTCCTATATATGATCCAACAGGAAGAGAGTGTGTGCGTACTTTGGCATAAACCGGAGGCAGTACTTCGCCTTTCTTTTCGGTAAAAGAAACCTTTAAGGCCGGTACCATATATGCAAGTGATGTTTTGCCCTCCACGACGGACGGCTGCTTCATTTCACCCATCAAAGTCTTCTTTCCCGTGTCCGAATTTATAAGCATAAAATCGACTTTCTCAGTGCTTACAGCGACTGTCTTGTCATGGCTGTACTCAGTGTCCATCCGAATATCAATTCCGAAAAGATCATTGATAGTGAAGTTGATAGCGTCACACAGTGTATTTTGGGCCCAATTGCAACCCTAGAACCCAGAGCACCACATCCGTCAACATTAACAGTAGGGAAACATTGGGTGGATACTCACATCTTTTTTGTTGTGCATTGTCTTACAAACCAGGCGTTTGACCTTTCTAGTCCCATCCACGTAATCACAATAAGGAGAGAACAGTGGCAGATATTCGTTTTGAAATCGATCTTCAGAAATCGGGTTAACACAGTCAAGAGCATCATCAGCAATCTTTATGAGCCTTTCTGCAAGCGTGCAGTCGTGGAAGGCATAGTCAGGCATTGCCTTTATCAGAGTATCTGCATTGATAGAACTCGGTGGAACGGGGGCAGTGCTTGTACTTGGCGCTTTCGTCAAGCTCGGGTGAGCGTCATCATGGTCAAAGGCTTGGTTGGGTAAGTAGAATATGGCGTTTTTTTTGAACCACTCGCTGTTTCGTGATCTCTTCTTTGACATGATGAGTTCGGATGTGGAAACGACGTGACTCAGCGTCAGTGGACAAGACCTCAGATAAACAAAAGAACATGGGGCTGTGCTTCATCACGTGATTCTGGCTAGTAAAGTAGGCTCGCATCAGGCATTTTACAATTTCTTGCCTTAAAAAATAACTTACATAATGCAAAACTTTATTTGAAATTTATTTTACCATTTTTTCTTAGTAAAAACTATAAATTATTTTCAACATTTTTCTATTTGTAAAATCTTTAAATAAATAGAAAAAATTATTTAAAACATAATTTTAAATTTCTTTTAAAATTAGGATTTTTTTAAATTTTAGAACAAAAAATTTAGAATTTCTTTGTGAGTGTAACCTCTGAGGTTACACACATGACTTTAGATAAATATAAAAGGGCTATTTGTAGATTAATTAGATCTTATCTTTGTACTTACTTTTGTACTTAGGTTAACCTCTCATTAATCCTAAGTCTTTACCTGTTCTGTGTTCTTAAGTAAGACTCTAGCCTTTACACTTTTTTTTGAATATTGTAAAATTTAGGGATTACCTCTTATCTACTACCTTTCACTTGTGTTACTAGATTGTTAGCCTTCCTCTAACTGTTAGTAATAGTATAAAGGGGACTTAAAGGCTTAGTAAGGGGACCTAGGCTATAACTATTCTATACAACAGAAATACAGAACACAAGTACTAGAATGTAGTCAGAACTTGTAGAACAGGCAGAGAGAGTGAGTAAGACAAGAGTAGAGTATATAGAGTAAGTCTAAGAGTACAGGACTATCTAGAGTAAACAAGATTAAGACTATAAGACTAGTCTGATCTTGTACACTTATATATACTAAACTATACAAGAGTACTTAGAGAGTATAAGCTACTAAGAATAATAAGCTACAAAGAATAAAAGAACAGAAGGTTAAAGATAAAGGTACAAAGAATGAAGGGATAGACAAAGGGTAAGAGACTATAGAATGAACAAGGAATGAAAGGGTAGTCAGAGGAATAGAATAATAAAGTAAGGAAGGGTAGTAGTAAGAGTTAGTATACATATAGTCTATAGACAGTACTCCTAAAGGACAGAAGTCCTGAGTTCTAGTATGAAAGGGTGTAGAACCCTTAGAACTAAAGGTATAAGAGTAGAGAACTGTAACACTAGCTTCTCTCTATATGTCTACTATCTACTATACATTTATAGTACTTTATAGTAAGACTCTAGTTAATTATAAGCTTTACAAATACTATACTAATATCCTGTTCACTCTTAAGAGCTTATAGAGAGATTGTTATTTACCTTTACAGTACTACCCTCTCTTAACAGACTCTTACTAGATTAGTCTCTAGATTCTAAGAGAATGTATTAAAACAATTAGTATTATACTAAGAACTGTACATTATATACAAACAATTATAGTAATCAAATCTGAACATTCATATAACTTATAAAAGTGTATTCTAAGAAAACCTAACTATTCTGTATTATAAGCATTTGTAAATAGAACTACAAACATGTACAGTCTTAGAATTAGCTTACACACACTATTTACTTTACAGAATGTACAGATTACATACTTATTATAGGCTCAGAACACAAGTTGTGTTATAGTAAGTAACTCAGTAAACTGTTACAGTTCTTTACTCTTGTATTCTTAGTTCTAAGAGTTCTACACCCTTCTGTACCAGAACTTAGAACTTCTGTCTCTTAGAGGTACTGTTTATAGATTACATACATTCTGACTCTTACTACTACCCCTCCTTACTTTATCATTCTGTTCCTTTGACTACTCTTTCATTCTTTGTTCATTCTATAGTCTCTTACCTTTTGTCTATCCCTTTATTCTTTATACCTTTATCTTTAACCTTTCTTTCTTTCATTCTTTGTAGCTTATCATTCTTAGTAGCTTATACTCTCTAAGTACTCTTGTATAGTTTAGTATATATAGGTGTACAAGATCAGACTAGTCTTATAGTGTTAACATGTCTTACAGACAATATAGCATTAGTAAACCAATAATACTAATTAGAGCAGAACAGATACATGTGTTGGATGCATGTATCAGATATACAATACAAGACATGTATTGGATAAAAAAACATATTCTGGATAACTGAGACATACAGACAGACAAACAATATAAAAAGAACACTTTATTAACTAAATACATATCATTATCAGGGTCTATGCCCTCATTACTTGTGTGATAACCTAAGAATACACATTCTAACAAGTTATGAGCCTTGCACTCTCTGCTTAACACCTCATATTACTACTACAAGACTATGCTATGCTTCTTTGTATTAATACTTTGCATCTACAATGGACTCTCCAAGTACCTGCAATATGTATACATTGAACAAAACTGTAACAAATCCATCTACATTCTCAGAGCAGACAAGCAGGACAAATCCCATTCACTACAAACCTGCCAATGTCCTTAAACACTTTGGACATAACATTGTACAACTAAAGAATGTATCTGGATTCAAAATATGGAAGTATTGGATTAACTCTGCTATTACAGCAACAGGCTATACATACTTGTTCACAAATGAACTAAAGCCTGAAGACATTAAGGTTGCACACACAATTTATACATTAATAATTGATAAAGTAGCAGATCATATAATGGCTAACTTTATACATACTAGAACGTCAATTAAAACTCTTATGAGTGGATTAGAAGAATGCTTCAACCCTCATACAGTTATGTGTAAAGCATACAATGAGTCTTTACTATTTAAATGTAATGATCATGTTAAAAACTTTGGACAAACACTTGATAAGCTAGAGTAGATATATGTGCAGCTTGTAGCAGACAATTTAAAACCTATGGATGCTACATATCGAGTGGCTATTTACACTACAACTCCTTCTGAATATAGTGGTACTATTACAGCTATGGAACAAGCTTGAGATATGTTTTACAACAGAAAACCTGAATCTGAGTATTAACCTATTAAGCTGTAAAGACTTATTACAGTACTACATCAAGCGTTTAACGATTTTCACATTAAAAATCCTCTACAATACAATAATAACAAGCCTACAATATATAGACAGGCAAATATGTTTTGTACAAAAGATAAAAATGTGCAGAAATAAAGGAATTAATAAAAATACAAGCAAACCAACTCTAGTATCAAAATGCTATAATTGTGGCAACCCAGGGCACTACACACATGATTGCTGCACATTACTGTCCCAATCGACACTAGATGCCTGAGCCAAAAAGGTTAATCATTCAGCAAATGTGGTAGAAGTAACAGAAGCAAAGCCTGCACTGGCAGCAACTACAGTGTATGTAAGTGTGTATATCAAACAGGTACCAGAAGTTGAAATGACAGAGATACTAGCCTCTCAGCAGGCAAATACTATTGTGAACACAAATGCAAACGACCCATTTGCAAATTGGGTACATTATAATAATATTTCAGACAATAATAATGCATTAATAAATAAATTTATCCCTAATACAATTGATATAATTGATTCTAGTGCTACAATACATGTTACACTGTATTATTTTCGCCTCACAGACATACAAAACGTATCCCTGGTAACAGTTACACTCACAAACAAATCAACAGTAACTCTTACAAAGGCTAGAGATATGTGCATAGAGATTAAAAAGGGAAATTCAGGAGATACATACATTCCTGTAATAAATAAAATAACACTGAACAATGTTTATTATCATTCGGATTTAAACTTTTTACTTATAAGTCAAGCATTATTATGCAACAATGGTTTTGCATTCTTGTTCAAACAATCAGAATGTATTATTTATCATGAGCAACATGAAATAGGAACAATCAAACTCGAAAATAACTTATATGCATTAAGAAACACTCATTATATGAATTCCATGAGCAGAATCAGTGTTTACAATTTACATAAATGTCTTGGTCATATCAGTTATGATTATATTAAATGTTTATTACAAAGCAATACAATGATATTATCCTAAAAGATAATAAACTTCAATGAAAAACAATGTGTTGATTGTATAAAAGCAAACATTGAACAGACAGTACAACTGAAAACAAGATCTTTGGAAATAAGTGCTAATTACAGTGATATAATTCATATGGATATAATAGGTCCAGTATCCCATGAAGGATATAAGAATATTTGATATCTATTAACATTAGTTGATGATGCAACATGTTGGGTATCTTTATTAAAGTTACAGATGAAGGACAATGCATATACTCAGTATGTTCAATAGAGCACAAACATATTTACACAATATGGAATACAAATAAAACAATTGCAAAGTGATAACAATACAGTATTCTGTGGTAAATACTTCTAAGAGTATTTAATTAGTCAAGGAACAAAATCCAGACTAACTGTTAAACATACACTACAACAGAACAGAGTAGTAGAACAGATGCATAAAACAATATTTAAACAAATACGTGCCTCTATTACTTTGCAGAACATTCCTTTATGCTTATGGGCAGAAGTGGCTATGCTACAAGCATACATTCATAATAGAACTCCTTAGAGTACAATAGGATACACAACTCCTTATTATAAACAATACAGACATAACACTAGTATTGATAACATACACAAATTTGGTCAATACATAATAATACAAAGTAAAAACCCTTCTAAAATAACAGACAGAGGTTATTACAGACAATGGATAGGTTTCAATGATAATTCTAAAGGCCATATTACTTGGCATCATAGGAAAATAACTATCAAACAAAACATACAATTCCTAGATACTAAACCTTCACAAATTGAAGGGGACTTGGAAGAAACCAAAGGAAACAAACTGGACATTGACAGAAATACAAATCCACCCGATCTAGTAGATCTAGACAATGAAAACAACTATTGTGGCCAAGCACACAAAGGACAAACACACACTGAAACAGAATCTGGTGAGGGAGAATGCTCTCAAGTGATAAAACATCTTTGATACGTTTCTCTAGGACGAGCTGTTTTCAAGCAGCCTACTCAATCTGACGAATCCAATTGAGAATCTGA